GATGTGTAAAACCATTTCTAATATCTGTGTTCTGTCTATTAATCTCATGACATCCCCCACCTCTTGGAAAATGACTCACTGTTCTAGACAATGTTCCCTCAGATGTTCTTAGCCAAACTGAAGAACCCTAACACTAAGAAGTTACAACTCAGTCCATCTTAGGGATTAGACACACTATAACCATCTCAGCTGTGACCCCCTCAATGCCTAACGGCTCAGCCACTAGAACTGTTCCACCTCAGAACTGCTAAGAAAGGTCCCTTAATGCACTAATAGCAGAGGGCTCCAGAGAGCTCTGCTGGGATATCTGGCACTGGCCATTTCCTTCCTAAAATGCAGTTGCCTGGAGCTGGAGAGATGGCTCAGCACTTTAAGAGCATGTGCTGTTCTTACAGAGGATGAGTTGCTTCTCAGTCCCACATCTTGTGGCTCACAGCTATCTGTAACTCTAGCTCCAGGACATCTGCTGCCTCTGACCTCCAAGGGTACCTGCACTCATGTGCATATACCCACACACAAACGTACACACATACACATAACTGCAAACATAACATTTTAAAAATGTATTTTTAGTGGTTACCAAAAAGATGCCTTACCTGTATTCCAATCAACAAAATCCACTTGGGAGATGGAAACTGCTCAAGGAGATTCCTTCCCTAGGTCTCCCTCGACTCACTATACCTTAGCTTCCTCACCTACAATGCAGGATGACAGTGCAAGAATCAGATATGATCATATAGATAACAGTGCTTCGAAAAAGAGGAAACATCGCTAGACAGGATCCTATTTTCTAGAACCCAAGAGCCAGACAGAGAGCAACCTGTGACTTCAACCTTTATAGGAATGGTAAACTATCAGTCAAACTAGAAGCTTTGACTACCACTGTCAATATGTGGATGATAAGTACACTGCTCCAGCTGTGTGAGGGGTCAAACAGAAGTCCCTCCCCTGACACACAGAGTTAGTGGCCTTAATGGGCTTCCCTTGTAGCCTGTCTTGTCTTTAGCCCATCACATTCAGACATCCAAGATCCCTGTCACCTTCTGGGGAGCTACTGAGTTCCTTTCTCTGCTCAGCAAACAGCGCCCAGCTCTCACAGGATTTTCCCAAGAAAGCACCAGTCACTCAGAAGTGTGATGGCTAATTTGCATGTCTGTAACAAATGCCTATTGAAGTCTGTACTCTCTCAAGGACAGGACCATGTATGTCTTGTTTGTATTTGTGCTCCAACACTGTTCTACATAAATCTCTGGGAGCATGCCAGATAAATGTTTGTCACCGACAATGTGACCATTACCTTGAAATCAGCTTTGAGGCATCCTGCAACCCCTTGACACTACTCTATGAGGAAACTAGCAACTTGAAAAGTTGACTTACTCACGCAGAGCCACACCCAGCCTCCTTCAAACCAATTCTAGGAAATATATAGTATGATAAATTAAAAAAACACCCGTTTTCAGTCTTAAATACTCAAATGCACTGATAGAATTCTGTGGGAATTAGAAAGAAAAGTAATGAGCAAAAAGAGCATTGAATTTGAATTTTTTTTTAAGTTATTTTCCAGGCTCAGCCTCCTGAAAGTCAACTTTAACATAATAGGCTCAGACATTTTTGTTTTTGTTTTTCTCGTTGATAGGCAACTACACTAAAAATCACAACTTAATATGCAATAAACAGAGAAAGATGTAATGCTAGGGACTGTCTGTGTGATTTACTTACTAACTCACTCAATCTTCACCACAACCATGAGACTTCTTGCAGATGAGAAAATGGGGTACAGGCCAATGGTATGTTTTGCCTAAGAACACATAGCATATTGGAGAGTCTGGCTTGAACCCCAGGCACTCGGGATCTTTCAGCCCCAGCCTGTATCTCTACAGTGTTTCTTCACATCTGTCAAAGTTGTTGTGCATGCCCCTTACCTCATATGTCAAGTGAAAGTAATTTCCTCAGGGAATCCTCTCCTCAGGCATCCATCCTAGGACAGACTACCTAGCTGCACCTTCATGGTACTCTTTATCTTTCTTTCAGAGCATTTGCCACAACTTGTAATCATCGATTTGTTGCAGTGCTCATGTGATTAAATATTTGCTCTTCCTCTCACTCTCCAAGACTCTAAGCTCCAAGAGGCTGAGAGGGAGCCTATGAAACACTACAGCTCCAGGGTTCGCATGGTGTAGGGGACAGGAATCCTCAGTTTACAGCTTCTCAAACAAGTTCATGACACCTTGGAAACTTACCAAGAATCCTCTAGTCAAGTTTCAATTTCCTGAGTAGGTGGCAAACATTCAGAAATTCTTTTTTTTAATACACGCACACATCATCATCATCATCACCTCACATTAGTAAGGGGGGGGTGTATCATCAGGAAATTCCATTGTGTGAACATCTAAGAGTGCACTTATACAAACTAAGATGACTGCAATGCCACTAGACTGTATGATCTTAGAGGACCACTGTCTATGTATTGTCAAGTAAAATGTTATTTAAAACATGACACATACATATATGCATACACATATATGTATACATACACATATATCTGAAACATATATGATTATCAAAATTCTAAATTCTAAACACACACACATAAATCTTGGTTTTTAAAATCCCAGTCAGCTAGCACATTCAGAAGCACATTGCCAATAGACCTTGTTTAAACTCTTGTCTCTACCCTGTTTCCTTTCCAGACATTGATGTAACTCAGCAGTAGGTCTCAGTTAATGCCACACAGCCAGTTATTTCACGTGCTGGCCAAGCATTTTGACCCAAGCTCATGGCTTTCTCACTATAACTCTTGGCAAATATCTCCTATCAGTCTTAGGGTTACAATATTTACATATTGTAATAATACATATTATTACAATATTACAAGACAATGGAAGAGCAGGGTGCCAACTCTTAGCAAGTTGCCCCTGGTAATAACAAAGACTACAGAAAGACAGACAACTGTGCAACATCCATGCCTCACTCCACTGTGATGCTAAATTCCTTCAACTCCCTTATCTGTTCTTGTGTACCTTTGGACTCTCAGAAATTTGTACATATACAAATATTCATGACCACTCTGAGATACAAACCTCTTAAAATATGCCCTTGCTTTTCCTTCTGAGACCATGTAGCACAGATGGGGGCTTTGTGGCTTTTGAAGCACAACCTAGATTACATACGACTCAGATGGAACCTTGGGAACCATCTCCTGTTCCCTCCAGACCAGCATGTAGCTAGTCCTAATCCAGCTTGTGTCTGTTTTTCTGGAGGTCTGGGTTAAGCCAGGGTAGTCCATCTCTCTTGGGAGACTTGAACTGATGCCTTCATGACATGTTGATTTATCCAGAACAGGGAGAAGACAGTGAGGGAGGATTTCTGCCATGAGCTCAAGGACAGTCAGTCTAAAGTCTAAACTCTGTCTAAAGTCGGAGGCAGCAGGAAAGCTGAAGCCTACGGATGACCTTGTTCACGATTATTACAGCAAAGCTTCTCTTTTCTCTGACACAAAGCACACTACTAAAGTTGCACCTGCTTTGTCGATCTCGTGGCAGCCCCGGCTGTGGAGACTGGGAAGTCTATGCATGCCTCCTCATCCTACAGCAACGGCAATCTAACCAGCTTTCCTTAGAATGAGAACTAGCCTTCTCAGAACAGTTCAAACAATGGCTCACAGCACACAAAGTCACTGCTTACCCAAGATGACAGCACCCAGGAAAAGCAATGCACCACGACCTCCTGCCACAGCGTCCCCGCATCGACTGCCAGCACAGTAGGTCAGGCTCAAAGCAAACCAGATGTATGCATGCTTTCTGAGGTGGCTACAGAAACCTAAACAGGAACCTTCAACTCAAGGTTCTCCTTTCAGCCGCCAGTCTCACTACCCAATCTGCACTTATATTTTCATTACATTTGAATTGCATTTTTGTCAATTTCACAAATATTATCCAGTGTGTTGTGATGGCCATATTCACCCCCATTAATCTCTCTTATTCCCATCTCATCCCTGCTGATCCCTCTCCTCTTCCCAACTAGTCCTCTTCATGCTTTTGTGCGTGCGTGCGTGCGTGCGTGCGTGCGTGCGCGTGCGTGCGTGCGTGCGTGTGTGTGTGTGTGTGTGTGTGTGTGTGTGTGTGCACATGTGAGCATGTGTGTGTGCGCATGCAGGTCTTCTTCAGGTAGCCACAGCTTCTGTGTGTACATGATTACAATGCCATGTCATAGCCAGAAGCACAGCACTCCATCATCTTCTGGCTTTTACATTTTTTTTTCTGCCTCCTCTTCTGTGAGGTTCCCTGAGCCTTGGAGGGAGTGGTACTGACATCCCATTCAGGACATTTATATTTTTATCCTAAAAGGAAGGACTGTATGCAACTTACTACAGTGACTCCTGCGGGTGCCACTTCCCTTTCTGGGTTCCAAATTCTGAAAGCAAGATCTCAAATGGGCCAGCTGTAGTGGTGTATGCCTGAAATCTCAGCACCCAGAAGACTCAGGTAGGAGAAGACAGCCTGGGATATACAGTGAGCCCCTATCTAAATGAAATAAAACAACAACAAAAATCTTGAAAGGCATGAGGCATTTACTGAGAAATCAGCTTTTTGTAAACAAAGTACAATTAATTGAAAATGAATAAAAAACATTCAGCTGTTTCAGATACAGCATATAAAGAGTCCCTCTCTCTCTCTCTCTCTCTCTCTCTCTCTCTCTCTCTCTCTCTCATCATAGAGATGCAGCCAGGCTAATCAATCACCCTTTAGCTGCTTCCGAAGATTACCCATGCCAGGTGCTCCAGCCCACCACGTTGCTTCATAGGTTTCCTCTGACTGTAAGAGTTGCCAGCACACAGAGAGCAAGTTATTCTCCTAGCAAACACTTTGAGTAGCTTTGCCATCCTGAGGAACAACTTGGGGCTTCCTGGTAGCAAGATATCTCTCCATTTTTAAGTCACCTTCAAAGTAAGTGTTCTCTCTCTCTCTCTCTCTCTCTCTCCTCTCTCTCTCTCTCACACACACACACACACACACACACACACACACACACACACACACACACATTCACCCTTAGCTCTCCTGGATTGACCCAAGCCTGGGTATACTCATCCTTTGGAGTGTGTCCTGTCCTGAAAACTATTGAATGTTTTCTTGCCTCAAGAACCATGCTGCATGGGCTATGTGTAAATATTCCCACTACAGTCTATTTCATGCCACCAATAGTTAGCCACTTGGCTCACAAAATTTCTAGAAATGCAATCATCAGCTCCTGCTGTGTGATCAGGCCACTGGATCTATTCACAGTCTTGCTGGCATACAGCTCAGAGAGTTTTCTCAATGTTGAAAACCACAAACCCCCTGTCTTTCATATGATACTTCTCTTTTTAATGCAGACAGACATGAAAAGGGTAGCCGCAAGGTGCAAAGAAGTTTATTAACTACAGTGGAGTAAAGATTCCATGAGTCACAGTGTCTATGCACGCAGCCTTACAGCTCATGGCCTTCCAGAAAACAAAAAGTTTAATTTTAAAAGTCAATGAAATACAGCAGTGAAGAGTTCACCACTGGAGAGTTTTGAGCTATAAAATTAAATACGAGTCTCGGTCTGCTCCATGGATCTTCTTAGAGCTCCTCTTCAGAATGGGAGCTCAGTGATACAACAGAACATTCTAGCTCAGGATTTGTCCTCCAGGTTTTCTATTGTTGTAACACACACACACACACACACACACACACACACACACACACACACACACACGAGGGAGAGGCAACTTTCCCTTCTAAAGCACCATTGCCTGATTCAGGAGCTGCAGACAGTTAAGATGTCCCCAAGTAGCCTGTCCCCAAGTAACCTGAAGTAACAGGTCACAGGGAGAAAACAAAGGACTTTATAAATTCACATTTTATAACAGTTTTAAGAGTTAAATGCATAAAACTCAGAAGATGATACAACCACAATGAAAGACTTAAATCTCTTCCCAGACAATGCTATAATGTCATGTGGTTTGAGCCCACAGAGCAGCAAAAAGGGGGAGGGGAGAGTATGAGAATGGCAACTTAGAAGATATTAAAACAGTAAGTTAAACAAACAAAACCCTTTTATCTTACATTCATTCTTAAAGAAGGTAGTGTTCCATAGACTGCCTTATTGCCCTTAGGATCAAAAAGCTATGGCGCAAACCTCGGCAGCAGAGTGAAGGAGGAAACTGAAGAGCCTAAGCCTGGGATTCGACCACAAACCCATGGAACAAATAAAATTATTGACTCCCCTACAATGATGGATTTCAGTGGTCTGTCATTTAAAAGAAAAGAACCATTTCAAAACAAGGAGCACAACAACGTGTGTGTATTCATCAGGCATTGGTCACCTAACTCACCAATGTCTGAGCTAGACAAAGCCTCACAACACACTTGCAGGAAAATCCTAAGACACCAAAACTGATCCCCCACTTTCACAGGATGATGGTTTAAATGGGTTCTTGTAACATCTCTGCCACAGCAATGAAGCCCACAGCATGCCCCCCTCATAACTGGATCATTCTCTTCAGATCTGCAAGAGCTATCTTCTCTGTGTTGATCTGTCTCACTGGAGTGACTGCAGACAATCACATCTTTAACAAGTAGCCCAAAGAACCATGAAGAAGTCTAAGCACCAGAGATGCAGAATGCCAGTTCCTCCTTTGCCCCTTCGATGGGTTTCCATGACCAGGGGTAAATCACAGCCCTTATCAGCTACTCAGATTCGTGGATCAGCAGGCTAGATTAACAAATCTTCAAAGCAGAGTTAACGATCCCAGTTTCAAAAATAAGATCTTGGTGGTAAGTAGAATGACTTTTATAAGATACATAGTTTATAACACTAATATGGAGCCCTCCCAAGCCACTTTAGGAAGAACTATGAATAAGACCACCATGTTGAAACAACCAAGGCTGGGGAAGGGGTCATTTGTGACTCACAATCAAGAAGTGAGCCCTGTCACTCCATAGAGAGGGCCGTTTGCACACATGCGGTCAGTCCTTCCTGGCATGTCAGGTACATCTTACTGGTTTATAGAAAACCTACTATAAATTAAAATTTTAAATAAGTTGCTACAGTATAGCAGTGGTGTGGGCTACAAGGCATGGAGAGAAGAGAAAGGAGATGCTCTGTGCAATCTCACTTCCTCATCTCCAGTACTGAGAAAACCAGCTTTCAGACACAATAATGTGCCCATCGCTATTGCAACTTGGAACTAGAAGTTCTAAACAACAACACAAGAAAAGTGGAAAGACTTAAAGCAAAGGACTACAAAAAATATTTCATAAGTCTCTCCTAAAAACCTTCTCAAGAGGCATTTCTTACCTCTGACTTAAGAAACCAAGGAGGAAACCACAACTTAGTCAGCTATAGGAACACAAAATAACAGATTCTTTGGCCCAAAATGTACCTCGCAAGACAAATGAGAAACACTACTCTACCTCAAAATTTGGTTCCTTAACTGTAAATTGGCAACACTTTAATACTTCAGAGACCCAGTCAAAGCAAGCCTACAACTTGAGAGGCTACTGAGTCTAACAAAATTGGGGTCAAACACTCCATGCCACCCATACACAACTGATGACCATTAAACCACATAGTTCATACTGAATACTTGCAACAGAAAACATTGGTGAAGAAGCAAAGGATACCCATCCCAAACACGTGTGATGTTCATTGGCACGTCATCAGGAAGCTACAAGCTCCACATCATTAAAAAGTACAAGTTTGGCATTGCAGAGTGACAGACATTTAGTATTCTCCTTCAGGCAACTGGAAGAAAACACGAACTACATTCAAGAGCGAAGGTAAACCAAGGGGTGTGTTTCTGCTCAAGACAAGAATTTCTTTGTTCAGTTGGAGCGTGTTAAGAAGGGAAGGCATGAGTCCCTTCTGGAAGTTTCCAAACAGTTTATAAATACAAAATGAACACTTCTTCAATAAATAAATGGTCCTTAAAGTCTTCACTGATGACCTTCAGATTCTTCTGTCACTGCTGTCCCCACCAGTGGCACTCCTGGCCAGGGGAATGGGGTATTTCCTGCTGTTAGGTAACACTTCTTCCAACACACACACTTCGTCAGTACGCCTCTTCATAGTCTGAATCCTAGAGGGGCAAGAATGGCAGATGTTTGTGCACTACAATGCCACAGCCAGTTACAGGTAAAGACCATATGTATGGGGTCTCCAAATGGAAACTTGCTTGGGGTAACAATGGTGGCATGTTCCTGATAGCACACCTAAGTTCCATGGAGCATCACAGGACCTCAACACAATGTGTCTAGCAGGCTGATTACTGCTTTGAAGCCCCAATGGCTCTCTTTATGAGTGTATTTTAGAACCTAAACATGCCAGAAAAGATGCTTGCCTACAGCAGAATGTGCAGGGCTGTCCTGAAACTCTCTCTGTAGACACGACTGGCCTCTAACTCGCAGAGATCCACCTGCCTCTGCCTCCCGAGTGCTGGAATTAAAGGCGTTCACCACCATGACCAGATTTTCTCTACTGCCCTTATGCCTTTATCTACAGCAACTATGTCCTCCTGTGATACCTCCCAGTGTAAACTCAGCAATTATCCCCGCCCCCTCTTGTAGCATCATTTTTTCCTTCTCCGTTGGATCATCCACAACAGCATAGAAATGTGATCCATTTCGCCCATCATAAAAAGCAACTCAACACACAGCACTCTCTACCCATTGCCCTGTTTCTTTGCATCCTACCTTAGGAAAGCTATTTACACTCACTCACTCCAATGTACCTTTGTGATGGTTCTTGCCCCTTTCACCCTCACTATCCCAGTGGAGCTACTTTTGCCAAGGTCACCAGTAACCTCAACATCACCAAAACAACAGAAACTACCAGTGCCTGGAAAATTTTCTTCCCCATCTCCCAAGATATCAAACTCTCTTGGTGGTCTTTCAACTTCAAAGGTCATCCCTTTTCTTTTCATCCTCTTTTGCTAATTCCTCTTTGTCTAGAAGCCTAGGAGAACTCCAGGCTCAGTTCTTTGGCCTCTCCTACATATATACACACCTATTTTCTTGATAGACATATCTCCATCAGTCTCTATCTCCTAACGATTCCTAAGTCATATCTCCAGACTAGGCCTCTGTTCTGAAAACATAACTGCCCACTGAACATTTCAAACTTAATATGTTTAAACTCAACTCCTGATTTAGTCTTAAGTCTTGCTCTGAGGCTGGAGAGATGACTCAGTAATAAAGAACATTCTCTGCCCTTCCAAAAGACCTGGGTTTGACTTCCAGGGCTCAGTAGTTAAGAGAACCTGGGTTTTATTCCCAGCACTCACACGGTGGCTCACAACCATCAATTTCCAGGGTATCTGATGCCCTCTTGGCCTCCGTGAGTACTGTATGCCCATGGTGCACAGATACACATGCAGACGAAATACTCAAACACATAAAATAAAAATCTTAAGTTTTAGTTAAAACATTTTAAATATTGCTCTAGAAAATGTTGGTTCTATTCTACTAATTGCCCAAGACCTCTGGAATGATCCCTGCTTCTCCTTTTTATCTTTAAAAACAAATGCCAGGAAATTCTTCTGACTTTACTTTCAAGCCAGAATACAGAATACAACCACTCCTCACCATCTCTACCACAGATGTCTCTCACTTGGATTATGGCTAATGCCTACTAACTAGGCTCTCTGATCCTGCTTCGGTCTCTTGCTGTCACTCTCAACACACAAGCTAGACTGACACTTTGTAAACACACATCAGTCCATAGTACTTCCCTTCAAATCCCCTCTAAAATGGATTCCACTTCATTTAGAGTTCAGCCCTCTACAAGATCTAGATGCTGTATTGATTCTTTAACAGACTTCATTCTTGCCTTCCTCTCTTGCTTTCCACACTGGCCCCTTGCTGAGCCCTTGCATCCACAGTCTCTTCCAGAAACACTCCCCCAAGGAAGCTGTGTGGCTAGCTGCTCGTTTCTCTTAGGAAATTTCTCGAATGCCATCTTAC